AGTCCTTAGCAAACCCCCAGGCACACTATAGGGTGGGATGAGTGCACAGAAAGAGGTATCTTGGTAGCAATTTTTTTGCGAAACCAAATTGCCTCCTGTTGCTGGAGGCCAACCAAGGCAATTGATGGAACTGCCTGCCAACTCCCTGGGAAACACTCCCAAGTGCCATCTGGAAACTCAGCAAATGATCTTCCTTATATGTCTCCCTGCCCTGCAGAGGTTCTGGATGATAGTCAATCTTAATTAGATCAGGAAGTGATCTAAGCACAAGAATGAGTTGTTAGATGCAACCTCGTATTCAGATCACAGCTGTGGCTACAAGTACCTCAGCAGCCTTGATGATATTTATTTATACCTCATCCTAATATTATCTCTGGGAGACTCTTGAGCTGTGGAGGCATTGTGGTTTTGCAGTAAAGAAGGAATGTGATTTTCTTCCACAAAGAAGGTGGACTTCCCATAGAGTCCATATTGCTTTTACCTTAGCAGGACTAAGTAACCATAATAGACTTCTCCATATGCATCGGAAATGCACTGAGTGAGGTCTTTTCTAGAATTTCCAGGAATTGCATGCACTGGAAGAGACTTAGGCACATGTGTCAAGCTGGAACAATAATGTCTTCTGGTTATTCAAACTGACAGAAGCCAGAAGTGAAGCATGCAACCATTCCACCTCATTTCATTTTACAAAAAGCATCATTTAAAAATCTGAATGAATACTTGACTACCTACATGAGTGATAGCCAACTTGCAATTCTCCTATTATTTTGAACTACAACTCCCATAACCTCTTGCCACCAATTATGCTGAGAAGATTTGATGGGAATTGAAATCCAATATATCTGAAGAGTTCAAACTCCCATGCCTCTGTCCCTGCATTCTAACAGATACTCCCAAATGATCAAAAAGAAATTATGTGCTAATGATTTTCATATTGGTATGCAAACCTTTATCCAAATACGTTTCCTAGGAAAGATGTGTTAGCTAATCTCTGCAGGATAAATGCTAGAGATCATGATTAAATTTTATTCAGTTTGAGTTTGGCTTTAATTTTTTAAATACACATGAAAAAGGAACCGCTTCCTACCCCCACCAGACCGATATTTATTTATTTTTTTAAATAAGCATAGAATGTGTTGGGCCATTCTGCAACTTCTGCAGTGGCTATAAAATCATCTCCATAGCTTAAACAGACAGCAAGCCCCACTTGTTTATCAGCATCAAACAATTATTTCAAAATGGCAAGAGGAACACTAGCAGTGATTATCAAACATGCAGCAGGGGAAAGATTTCTCTCACATAAAAGAAGGCATAGAGCATCTCTCATTCCTCAACCCTGCATTTTGTCCCTTTCCTTGTTGAGATTTTCTTTTAAGGCACAAAAATTCACCTGTGAATGGATATATGTTCCAAAGATAGATAGCCCAAATGTCACAACACACTTTTGGCTGTTGCCGTTTAATGCCAGAATTGTTACCTTGGAACTACGGTATATGCTTCAAGACGAGGTGCGTGAAAAACTCAGAATTTTCTTGAAATCTTTTTCCCAAAATAACTTTTTAATAAATATGGTTATCAGACTCAATTGTTTCAATGCAAAATAAAAACAAATGGAATACAGTACTTTCCTTAAAAAGGTAAAAACTCGATCGACTATGATCCCTTACTCCCCTGATTTCCTGAGTGAACAATAACATCCTTCTGAGAATCTTACATGAGAGAATATGAGGTTACTGAACCTCTTTGCAATATTGTTTCTTAGCAATGGCATTCAAAGGCATATTTGAAAAATGGTTTCCTGCATTGCCCTCTACAGGTTTTTTTCCCAGTATACCCATTAGCACAAGCCATAGGTCACCACTTATTAAAAGGTTTCAGATATGGTAGTACATTGTACCTGCTTGCTGTAAGTAGCTCAATTATTCCAAATATAATTTATCCCTATTTCTCAATGACCAACAGATGTAGGACTTTACTTGACTTTGAGGTCTTCTGTCTATCTATCTATCTATTTATCTATCTATCTATCATCTATCTATCTATCTGTCTACCGATTGATCTATCATCAATCTATCATCGATTGATCTTGCTATCAATCTACAGTATCTACCAAGAATTTTTTAATTTCAAAAAAATAATGTGGTACGTATAACATACCAATTGGTATGTATAACGTACCAACTAGTCAACCTGAAACTTTTGGTCCCTTTTGCAAAAGAATCTAATGCATTTGTGTGGATCAATTTCTAGTCACTTACAAAGTAACTGAAGTTTACTATCATTTAAATGGAATCCAGAGTATCTCACTATGGTGGGACTGACTGTGACCAGGTATTCTGCATTATTGATCTCATCCTATTGCAGAGGGCGCTGTTGATGGACAACTTCAAGGATTCATCTTCATTTTTAAACAAGCTTTAAACTTGAGGCCAACCCTTGACCCTGAAGATGCTTTTTTTTTAAAAAAAAAAAGATTCTCCTATTATAGTTGTTTATGTATAGAACTAAAAAAAAGGAATGTGACTCTTTTAAAACTCTTAAGATACATAAAGCAAAATTAACTCAAGCTTCTTGTGGTGGTCATAAAATAGAGTTTGTTCTCAGTTTTCCCCAATCGAGACATGCATTTGAAAAGTCATTGGAATAGTCTTTTTCATAGCATGAAAAGAGACCTCAGCTTAGGTGTCAATCATCAGCAGAAGTCAGGAATTTAAAGACTAATGTGAAACATCAAACCAGCAAGGGAACAAGGGGCTGGAATGTGAATAGAAAAGTTTTGCATTTGAAATCTGTCCTATTGCCTCCAAACAATGAAACATCCATTTGATGTCAAGTAATTTATTGCTGGCCATCTCACTGATCAAACTGAATGGGAATGCTCAATACAATCATCTACAACTTAAAAATAAGAGGATACTTAAAACTAGCTTTGATATCTGTGAAATTGCCAGTTCAACATTCCCTTGGGAAAATCTCTTTTTGTTTCATCTATATATAGAATGAATATACATATACATATAATTTCCATCCTCTTCAAAATTCATGAAGAAAAACTATTTAGCACATCTTCTGACTTTTGTCATCAAAGGAATGCAAAAGATCTGCCTCGATTCAAACAAATCTTTCAAATGTATATGATCAGGAATTTGTGCCAATACCATCCACCATTTTTTGAAAACAGGAATGACCTGTTGCCAAAATTACACAGACATCAAAGATTGCCCCCCCCCACACACACACACACACACACATACACTGTGCAAGCTTTACATTTCTCAGTGATGCAAAGATTGGGAAGAAGCTTAAAACAAGTAAATCAGTGGAAATCATTTAGAGTAGATTATTTAAAACCCATATTGTTATTTTCAGGAGAATTCCTAAGTCCCCTCAAGATGAAGCATCCGAGGGTTATTTGCTCCCAAGACCTTTTTAATATGGCTGTATTGTAATACTGCAGTGGCAGAGCCTCTGTGGCAATAGAGAGAATTTTTTCTTTGGAACACAACTTGGGAGCCACCATTCTATGTATCCTCATTTAATAATGCCTTTATTTAACAAGATCAGGAAAAAAAATTACTGTCTTCAGCAAACATAACATGCTCTGTAACCTTCTTTCCTTTAATGCTGCAGTATTTTAAATACATGTGTGAGCATGCACACACATACACACACATGCAAACCAAATCCCTAAAGCAAGCAAAAGATTTACAAAGCTAATAAAATATATAAAAAAGCAAAGACTGACAGACAAAGAAATAAATTTAGTCTCTGCTGTAACAAGCCCAGGAAGAATATGTTCTGCTGCACCTACTAAATATCCGTAGCCCTTAAAGTACATGTGCAGTTGCTGCACTTTGATGATTGCTAGAAAAGCCACAGAAAACCCTTAAGCTATTAAGGAAAAGCTTTTAATATCTAGGTATATACCCTACGACATCACCAGTCCAATGTCTATGTAGCTATGCCTAATTATTTTCTTACAAGGTTGAGCCTAATTGACCACTTGCTTGATTGATTAATCCTTTGCAATTTGGACAGAACATAAAGAGTAGCAAAATATTTATTTAGAGACACATATTAAAACCCACAGAACTATCCCTTTGCAGCCATGCATAGACCTTCTCATGCATCCACCAAAAAAAAATAGGATGGGGGTGTGGGTAGCCCAACAACGTGCGAGCAGCAGTCAATAACTCAGTGCAGTAAACTATACCATTTTCGGATGGGTGAGCAGAATTTTAAGTAAGTTGTCTTGGGTTCGACCTGCCGAAGTGAAAGGCTTCCAGGCTTTAATGGGCTAAGAGTCCTGCCAGACATGCACGGAATTCACATTTCTAAATTTGCATAATAAAATGTATTTCTCCTTGTGTGCTTAAGCTCTTGTGGCAAAGGCAGGGGATCAATGGCAGGCTACAAGACTCCAGTTCCTTCTTCCCTTGAAATCTCTGCCTTTGCGTATAAGTTACACTGGTCACATACAGCTCCAAGCAGACAACAGCTGGTTCCTGACAGGGCTGGGAGGGAAAAGGCAAAACTTCCACTCAAATCAAAGACTACCTATGTCGTTTGCACCGCACCCTTCCTTCCCCATCTCTGCAAAAACTGAAAAGTTAACCGGAATCTTTCCTCAAATCTCAGCCATGCCAATACCCCAGCAGATTCTAACGCATGTGGCAAAGCCTCACTGGCTAAGGTGGTGGTGTCTGTGTTTTTTTTTTTTTTTTTTACAAATCTCAAAGTCCTGATGTAGAATCTTTCCAATACACTGAAGGGAAACATCCTAAAGCCACCAGATGTGTCAAGAACAAGCATGAGATTTATTTATTTATTTATTTAAAAAGGTGTCCACGTTAATCAATACCTTGAAGCAAGATGCCTAAATCAGCAGGTTTAATTAAAGCAACTACAAGAAGGCAGAGGGCTAAGTCACTTCACCACCGCTCCCGGCACCCACCCTGACTTCCTTGACGTTCCCCAAAAAGAAAATCACCTTCTCCTACCTTCTGACAGAATTGCTTCCTCATCGAGCCCCTACTCATCCTCCTGCTTCAAGGGGAAAAGCTCTCCCCCCTGTTTTTGTTCCTAAAATAACATGGGCAGTTCTTGGTTTTCTTCTGGGAGATTGTCTGTCTCAGTCAGTCTGCCGGCGAGAGAACCACTAGATACTCGAGCAGAAGTGCTGGGGAAGGGATATCCTCCTCGTGGAAAAAATCCTCAGCAGTTTCAGTTCAGGCAGAACATCTCCTGTCTAGCAGCAGCGGCAGCAGCAGCAAAGGCAATGCTTCAGAACTCTGCAGGCCACAGCGTTCATACCTTATACATCACTACCACATTCTTTGTAATAGGCGGGCATAATGAAGCATTTCATCACCTACTGTCCCAGAGTTTTGTCTAGGCAGTTGCATTTCTGCCTCGGAAGGTTCTTCATCATTCTTACTGTCTTCATCTCATCAGTAGGCTGTTTATGTCGCAGCAGGAGCAGCAAAACAAGCAAGTTATCATCGAGATGGTGGGATTTCACTCTGTGCATTAGGTTTGCCATATGTGAATCTCTCTGTGTGGGTGTGCATATGAAAATGGGTAGGTAAGTAAATCGATATAGGTATATCGCAGGGGTGAAATCCAGCAGGTTCTGACAGGTTCTGGAGAACCGGTAGCAGAATTTTTGAGCAGTTCGGAGAACCGGCAAATACCACCTCTGGCTGGCCCCAGAGTGGGGTGGGAATGGAGATTTTGCAATATCCTTCCCCCAGGAGTGGGGAGGGAATGAGGCTTTTGTAGTATCCTTCCCCTGGAGTGGGGTGGGAATGGAGATTTTGCAGGATCCTTCCCCTGCCGTGCCCACCAAGCCACACCCACCAAGCCACGCCCACAGAACTGGTAGTAAAAAAATTTGGATTTCACCACTGGTATATTAATACTGTATTGATGGAGAATACATTTTTTTTCTGTGGATGGGAAAAAAAGGGGAGAATGGAAAGGCTTGGTGAAATCCAAGCATTATTTCCATGCTGTTGTATGACCAGAATGGTTAGCAAACAAAATTTTTAAAAGTTTACTGTCTTGGAGTCATGCTCCTCCTTCTATTTGAAGATGGGACATGCAAGTGAACATGGGGATTTGATGGTCCATGTTTTATTGGGGATGTGTGTGTCCGTGGTCTATCTAACTTCTTCAGAGAAATTCTAAAATATAGCTAATGCTCAGTACAAATGTGCCATTCATGCAATTGGCAATTATTTGTATGAAAAGGTTACCAGCAGGTGGCAGCACCTAGTTGACCTTGGCTAATCTGCAGAAAGCTAAGCAGAGTGGACCTCATTAGTACTTGAATGGGGGATCATCAAGAAATAGGTTAGACCTGAATTTAAAACACAAACATATATGAAAGCAAGAAAAAGCCATTTCCATATTGTTTCCATTCAAGAAATAGATTCGACTTGAATTTAAAACACACATGTGTATGAAACCAAGAAGAAACCATATCCATATTGTTTCCATGAAGGCATCAGGAATGGAGCTATAAATTGAGAGAATTTACTTATCTGTGAGGGCCACATCAGTGAACAAAGAGTTAAAGGTCCCCTACTGCCACCTTTGGTGTTTAGATTTTAGTTTTGTTTTTTGCAAGGCCATTCTCAAATATTGTTATCATGAATATTGTACTGATTTGAAAGAACAATGAATTTAAACTTAAGACAATTTTCTCCCAAATGGAAAAATAGAATAATATATGTATTTATATTAATATCTTTATTTTTATAGTACATGCAGTGGTTAAGGCCTTAGGCAAGCAACTGGGAGACCATGAGTCTCTCCTCAGACACAAGGACAGTTGGGCGACTTTGGGCCAGTCATCTTCTCTCCGCCCTAGGAAGGAGGCAATGGCAAATCATTTCTGAAAATCCTTGCCAAGAAAACTGCAGGGACTTATCCAGGAATGTCTCTGAGAATCAGACATGATTGAATGGAAGGGGGAAAAAACTATACCCAGACATGTACATATATACACATAAACAACTAAAATCCATGTTGAGTCTTAGCTTCTACATCATGTCAACACAAGGCTTCTACCTCCAGCTAAAACCAGTCCTAGAGATTCCCACATTATTCAATAAATGCATGAGCACATTTATAGCTGTATATACCTAGGCTGAGCATTAAAGAATTGAGGCCTTTGAACTATGGTGCTGGAGAAGACCTTGGACTGCAAGTCGATCAAACCAATCAGTCTTAGAGGAGATCAACCCTGACTGCTCTTTAGAAGGCCAGATCCTGAAGATGAAACTGAAATACTTTGGCCACTTAATGAGAAGGAAGGACTCACTGGAGAAGAGCCTAATGCTGGGAACGATTGAGGGCAAAAGAAGAAGGGGACGGCAGAGAATGAGGTGGCTGGATGGAGTCACTGAAGCAGTTGGTGTGAGCTTAAATGGTCTCCTGGAGATGGTAGAGAACAGGAAGGCCTGGATGAAAGTTGTCCGTGGGCTCGCGATGGGTCAGACATGACTTTGCAATTAACAACAACAATGCCTAGCAAAGTCTATACTCCTCACAAAAAGAGCAGATCAAGATAAGAGAGAGAGAGAGAGAGAGAGAGAAAGAGAGAGAGAGAGAGAGAGAGAGAGAGAGAGAGAGAGAGAGAGAGAAATAATTAGATGTAATACGTATTGAGATATATTTATATTGATATTAATTAAATTAATGAATACTAACTGCAATTAATTCCTCTATAAAAGAGGGAACACCTTTTTTAAGTTTAATTGAGCCTTATTAGATATATTTTCTCACACTCTCTTTCTGTCACAGACACACACACACGCATACCACTTTTCCAAAAATAAGCACCCAAAAACACACGCAACAAAATGGGACTGGGATGAAGAAAGGGGAAGAGATAACAGGGTGGGAAAGCAAAGCGAGAGAATACCAGTTTAGGCCTATGAAATTGATTAGCCAATCAGCTCCACCCACCCAAGCAATGGTTAATTTTCAAAGATGCCCCTGGTTTTCAGCAGTGATGTTTTGAAGTTATTCACAATGCCCTTGGGTACAAACACTGTTTCTATTGGTATCAACCCAATTGAAGACAACACTTGCAATTTGCAGTTGTTTGGTGTAAAATTGTGTCCTTCTGCAAATGCAGTGATTTGGAGCTCAGGATTGAGCTGGGTGAGCAATAAATGTATTTGTATGCAACTGAACCTTTTCTGGGCTTTTTAAAAATCCATATTAAGTGCTGTCCTTTTTCAATCATTGATTAGATTTGTATGTTTGAAGACTTATGCATCTCTGCTTCATAAACTGGACTATAAATCAAAGTAAACAAACTAAAAACCACTTCCTCTTAAGACTTTGATCAGTCAAAACCAAGCCAAAGTCAGGTTTGATTGTTTCATTTCCTTCTTAAACTCCTGTAACCATTTGCAACTTGACATTATGCCTAAGGTTCTCTGAAATACCAGCAGGAGACTATGAGTCATATCAAATCACGTGGTCTCCTGTGCAATCATATAATGATAATGCCATATCCATCTGCTGCTTATCACATTGTGTCTCAAAGTTGATGGGAGGGGGAGAATAGGAAGTAGAAATGGAGGAAAAGGAACACTAAATCATCTTGTCTCTTCCGTCTGTTCCCTCTGTGCAGCTTCAGACAAGGCAATGATATTCAGTTCACTTATATTTCACCAAATGTTCTACCACTTGATTTCTGCAAGGTTTTAAGTATCACTAGATTTAAAAATCACTGTTGACCTTGCTTCAATTTCTGGATAGATTTTCTGTTTTATAAGAATTATAGAAGACCTGCAGTTGCACCTCTGGATTTCCACAGAGATGTACAAAATGGTGATGCTGGAAACAGTTTTAATCCTCTTCATCTATGAGGAAACTCTTGCTGACACAAAAAGAATCATTTGTTTGGGATCAGTGCTGTTTTGTAGCCTATTATTTCTATTTCTCTATCTTCATCTCATCCAGAAGCGTGCCCTATGGTAGCAAGATAAAGTTATGTTTCATCAATCTCAAAAAGAAAACTGTACAGGAAATTGTTGCCATAGGTTCTACAGTCAAAATGGCAACCTCACTGTCAGCCCTGGAGGCCATCTTTTACTTGGGATCTTCAGGGCTGCCACACTTGGGGCTGTGGGAAACTGGGAGGGGGATTGCATGGAGTGGTAGAGATATCTAGCCATAACAAAATTCTTTTCCCTGGGAGTCAAGGACATTTCAACCTGCACCTGGAGTAGCGTGACTGGGAGGCATCTCCAGTTGGGATGGTGGATTGATTGGACCATGTGATGGACATGTGGGTGCAGGGGAAGGGACTTTGAAATTCTTTTGAGTGGGGGAAAGCCGGAAGCTTTCAGATTCGGGTTTTCCCAGACGTGCCAATATGACATCTTTAATAAAGTGGAACTTTGAGGAACTTCAAGCCTCGGAGTCTTCTTTCATTGGAGGTCTTACTTGGAACCCTGACACTCCCTATCCAAAGGTGACCTTATCTTTCCTTCAGGTTTTTTTTAAAAGTAGGATACTCATTTTCACTGATTCTGCTGCCTACTTTTATCATTTCATCATGTATCTCATTAATTAGAGAATATATCTGCATGGCCAGAAGTCCTTTTCACTATGGCAAAGTAGAGTTGGATGCAGTTCAAATGTTCCTTTTTGTCCATGGTTTAACTTCGCTTTAATGTTGCTCATCCATATAGCCAACCTAGTGGGATGTTCTACAGACAGCAGATTTTTTTGGAGACATGAGACAGGCCCAGATCAAGATGAGCAGCCAGTGGCTACTTCGGTTCACTTATACTTCTTCTTCAAGTATCTGAAAACTAAAAGAGCCCTCTCATATTGACGCATGATAGGGTTGACTATGGGATTATCCTTTAGGATAGATCCTACAAGTTCCCAAGGCCCCATAAATGTAGCAGAAAAACATTGCTTATATAAAAGTCACCCTAACCCAGAATTTTCACCTAAACAAACAAGAGAAAAAAATGTAGTAAACTGTAACAAAAATAAACAAAAAGTGTGACTTTTTCCAAGAAAAACCTTGTTGGTATAGCTTTTAAGGTGCAGATTAGGACGGGGGGGGGGGAACCAGGTTCAAATCCATCCTCATGGAACTGACTTCATGACTGTAAGACAATCATTCTCTGGCATCCTCCTCCTTATTATTGTGAAGATGCAATGTAGGAAAATGGCTCATTTTAGTCCAACCTGGAGCTTCATGAGAAAGGTTGAAAGCCCTTCTCTCTGCATATTCAGGGTAATGTGAATTGATTCACAGGTA